GCCAAGTAATGTGTTTGCAATAGAAATTTATGGAAAAGGGTAAATGCCTCCTCTTACCACTTCCCTGTCTTTATACCCTGCTGGGAAAACAAGTGAAAAAAGAAATCAAAAAGCCATTACAAAGCCCATAGCTGAGTAGAGAGCTAGCACAGGGTTAACAGATCACACCTCATCCAGCTGGAGTCTTCTCTGTCTCCATAGGGTCTGTGTTCACGTGAAATCTGTAGGATCTGAATGAGAGCTCCTGATAAAGTTTCATTCCATGTCAGTGGGGAGAGCAGCAAGGTGCTTAGTGGGAGAATAATGTTGCAGAAAAAAGCTATGTACTCTTGAAAACTTTATAGCACAAGGGCACCACTTCTGTTGATACAGGATTATAGAGAAGGAGTACTGCACTGTAGGTAATTTTTAATTTTTTAATTAGTTGCACATGTACTACACAATCCACTAATATCTTTCCAGTTATAGGAACTGGGTATTTTCCAGTATTCTGGAAAAAAGCTAGAAACCCAGAAAAATAGATAAGGATTATTTTGCTGCAAGAGTAGGTAAGACCGGTTCTGCTGAGCAGTTAAAAGTTCAGTAGAAATTTCTTTACTTCGAAAGAGTACAGGACTAGAGAAAGACATTTTAAAAAACAATTTTGAGAGCTGCAAACACAATGTAAGGTACTAAGTAGAAGGGAATTTAATTTTTATTTGCTCTTTTACTCTCCTTAATTGGCAAATGTCTACAGTAATTGACTAAACCTTAGATAGCCATACCTATTTAACACCTGGCTAAGCATCATTTAGCTGCTCAACCTTGGATGAATATAATCACATTAAAAGCAATTTATGCTAATGCTGTCCTGTTTGAGTAGCAGTTATAACCATGTGCCACTATTAGGCTAAAGTCCTAGGGGGCATCCCAATTAAGTACAACCTGAAAGAGCAGCACATCCTCCATTACCTTCCCACTATAAACTTATTTCTTCAAAGGACTGCAGAAGAATATAGAATTGCATTAATCCTTTTTTTTGTTTTTGGTTAAAAAACCCTGACACCTTAGCCTTAAAGTCTGAAATAAATTTTTTTACTCTTATCAACCAAAATAAATTGCTGCTATTTAAAACAACTATATTAGAATGATACACATGCAGGAAAATGTAAATTGTTTTACAGATTTATGTATTACAAATTGTAACAAGAATCCTTGACCCAGAAAATTATATTCTCTGACTTTGGCTTAAAATTGATGGACATTCATCCAGAGTAGCCTACAGAAGATGACAGATTTCTCTGTACTGGTGTACAGACTCCTGTGATTGCAGGGTCACAGAGCACACACTGCCATGCTGTGGGGAAACCATTTCCTGAGTTCATAACCTTCAGGCTTCACTTTGCTTTCCTGCAAACAGCTGACCAGAGACATGTGAAAGTGGGAAGAAAAAAGAGGGAGCAGCCACCACTACAGCAGAGCGGGTCCGAGGCACCTGGCAGGAGGCTGCCATTCACTGTCAAGACATGAGCACCTCTGGAAGTAGAGTAAACCAGCAGAGAAGGAGAAAAAGCAAGAGAAGTGAGAGGAGACTCATGAGAAAAGTAGATAAATATAATGCCATCAACACCATGCTTGGATGGTGTTTTTCCATGACACATAAATATTCTAGTATCACAAATGGCAGAGAAAACAAGGTGCAAGAAACTTTGCAGTAATATGTATGACAGAAATTTCAGATCCCCTGGATGAACATTTCAGATTTTTTATCCAGACTGCTCTTTCACATGGCAGAGAGGAGAATGATTTATAGCTGAGATGAAATCTGTGACTCTGTTCAGTGCACTTGTCTTTTTATTAGGGTCACATCAAGGAACTTGCGAAGTTAGGGAGAAAAATCCAAAGGCAAGAAACCATAACTAGATGAAACAAGCAGCATTCACAAAAGCTGCAAAATCTGTTTGTACAAGATTTACTGAGGACTTCTCAACTTCTATTTCACCTAGCAGATACCAGACAGACACTGAGTGAAACCACTTCTGCCCTTCCACATCTTCCAAAGGAAACCCACAGCCCCTTCTCCAGGTTACTATACACCAAGTACTTTGGAATCAAGAAAAATAACTACTCCCAAGAGTCTTCTCCTTCCCATTTCTTGTAGACAGTCATGGTGCATTTAACCACATATAGTCTTCTCAGTGATGAGAGCTGGAAGAGATGTGGGGGAGAAGGAAGTTTCCCTATTTTTCTGACAGTTGCTGGTAATCCTAGACACACAGGAAAGCCCTGCACTTTTCTTTCACTCCAGAGGCTCCATCTCACAGAGCTCCTACACCTCTTTGGCTGCTCCCCAGCTACAACTCAGAATGGCATGCTGGGCCACCACTACATTACCCTAGACACTAATTTTTAATTCAGCGAGTGAAAATGCCCTCCCCAAGCAGAGATTTTTGGGAGACTTTTCTTATTTCAGTTCTTGCACAATTGGAAAATGGATTTCCTTGCAGCAAAACATCAGTTCTGCATTTATTAAATTCTCCACAAATGGTCTGGCATTGACAGAGTGTAGCTTGTTTTTCTAATTCAAGCATACAGTTTGTAGGGCAAATTATCCCCTGCTGAAAGGCTGTTTGCTTCATTCTTTGATAATGTCACTTGCTAACTCTCAAGGAGGAGCTACGGCTACTTTGTGTGATACTCGGAGGCTTTAATCTGGCGGCCCTAAAACTCACAGCTGCCGGTTTTTCTTTGATGTCTTATCATTGCCACAGTTCTGCATGCTTCCAAAATTTGTTAAAGCCCTCTCAGAGCTGATATGTCTGATACCCAGCTCAGCCCCTCAGAACCCAGCACTTCCAAGCCTCAAAGCATTTGCATGACTTTCACTCCGATTTCCTTCCTGTGGCCTGATCCTCATGCATCTGTGGAAGCCGGTCCCCCAGACGCAGTTGCCAGGTCTCAGCACTGCTCACTACCTCCTCCTGTGCAGGGGGGGCAGGAATCCTGTCATCCTTTCCACCACTGCCTTACAAGCCAGAAAGGTGGCTCTGAGAGATTACAAAGCATTTCCCTTTCTCCTACCAAGGTCTATATCCCATTCGTGCAAAGGGTCACAGATTTGCATCGACAAGAGTCATGTCAAAGTGCAGTTCTGTATATGAATTGTCCAGATCCATGAGCTCTGCTAGCACAGTGACAAGAGTACAGATTGTACCGCTAAAACGTATGTTCCATGCTGGTCCTTATTCCCAACCTCACCTCATGATCACATGGCCAAAGTACAACCATTGTGGCAAGGAGGACAGTTTATCATATGGGTTGTGGCCACCACCAAAGTGGTGCCCTGGAAACTGCTCTCCTGTAGGACCAGCAGCCCAAGGGGGCCCAGCTATACATCCTGCTGGTGCTTGGGGATCAGGTGGGGCTTACTGCTGCTCACCAACTGCTAGACAGACAAGGCAAGCTGAAAAGGCAACCAGCAGCTTAGACCTCTGCTTGTTTTATAAATGGATTTAACAGAAGACAGAACTTCTGTGACAGATCATATGAAATTCACTGACCACTGACTTGATCAACATCAAGTTTTCATGGTGGGGTTTTTTTTCCTTAATTGCTTAACAACATTTTTGAAATGTGCACAGGCAGGGGCCTGCCTTCTTACCCTGTGCAGCAGTTTTCAAGGAAAACGCACACAAATGAGGAAGTTTGTCAAGGCCATTAGAGTTGCTGCTTCTCCTGTGCAGCATTGTAAAGTGGTGGTTTAACTCCTCAGAATGGCCAGTCTAGCATTTCTGATGAATCCTGAATTTCCTTTAAGTAAATGAATGTGCTATTATGCCTATGAACCTCTGAACATTTTTGACAGTACTTCTGTCTTCCAGATCTAATTGGAAGATGTGGACTTTTGTTTATAAGGAATATCTAAAGACTTAATAAAGAAATACATCAAGTTGAGATGTTCAAAGCAGTGTTAAAGATTTAACTGAATAAGACAGCAGACTACACCAGAATAGTTAATCTCTCCAGTGTGACTTGTTTTATAAGCAATGCTTCCTCTTTATTATTCAGACAGAGAACACAGCAGTTGTGCACAGACACTACCCACGAATCTGCTTGCAGCACACTTTTGCCAGTGTTAGGCTGGGAGGATCATCTCTTCCTACATTCATGAAACCTGCATTAGATTGCAAAGCCATAATCAAGAAAGTTCAAACATTTCCCCAGGCCAACACTGCCTAAAGAATTGATTAAAAAACAGTCAAGCCTGGAAACTGTTCTCATTATATTCCACAAAGCAAACATGAGGAATGGTCCACATCTCTAAACCATATTCCTTCCACCCAGTCCCGCTTTGAAGTTTTTGCAATTTAGAAGAGCAAACAAACCCCAAATCTCATCTAAGGGATGCAATTCTATTGCTAAGAGCCTTTGGAGTGGCTGCAGCCCTTGTGCTGCAAAGCACCTGACTACAATGCCTTACTGTCTGCTCTCCCATGAAACGGGAAGCATTGTAGAGAATTCCAAATGACCCCTTTGTACATCCAAACAAATCAAACAAACTTCCAACTTGAAAGACAAGCGAGCAACCCAGATGGACCCAAAACAAATGCTAAAAATAGGAAATAAATATTGATGTTTCCAATGCTTGCTAAACTTAGCTCTTAAATCCCCTGCTTTAGTATCATGGTTTTTTTCAAATTCAAATAAAAGGTGGGACTTTAATACTACTGTCTTGCATTTCAGATTCAGGAGAGCAACATAATCTAAATTTTAATCTCAAACACTATAAGCAAATATTAGAACCCCTGCATCACATGATTTTAAACTGTCCTAGTATTAGAGGGTTTGGGACCTGGAAAAAACAAAACAACCACTTGACAGTTCTGTTAACAGTAAGGTGAAAAGGCGACACAGAGACAGGAATTTACTCACTGAAGCTGAACTTCTGTTCACTGATACAAACATTGTTTGGTGCATGCTGGAAGGATAAACACGAAAATGGAAAAATGAAAATAATTTACCTCTCTCTGAATCCCGGGAAGCATGAAGAAACAGAAAGAACAAGTTAGAAAGCACTCAAGCAGACAGAGCTCCAACATATGATGAGGCAGGGAAGCTGAAAAGTGCTGTACATTTAGTAGTGTTCGCTGTTGTTTGTAGCACAGTGTATCTAAGCATACTGCCACTATTTCCTTTTGACACTTCTTTTGTTGAATCTTGTTGTTCTGAAGTTTGTATTTCTGGAAACATGGAATGAAGCCAGCAGGCATCAGGTGAATTCAGTGAGGCAGCACAGACATACCAACAGTGAGAAGTAATAAAGCTTAAAATACCACACATAAGTCCAGGAAGTAGTATGCAGAAAGCATAAATAGATATAGAAAGTGCATGAACCTTCCTTCATCCAAAATAACACTATTTACAGCAGATACTGACTAAAGAAACAAGAATAATTCTTCAGAGTGTGAAAACCTTACATTGTTTGAACTGAAAGAGTAGAAAGATTGTCCTCGGTTTTTTTAATGCCTTTTCCAAAAGAAGTGACAGCCAGGGGAACAACCTCACGAGTGCTGAGCTGAAGCCAGGAGGTATAAAATCACCACACACTTTCATTTCTGAAACACTTCAGCAACCACTAACTCTTAGTACGACTTAACCAACACCCCTTTCCTGCAGGCGAAGGTGGGCAGGAGAGGCACAAGCTTCCTTGGCTGGTGGCTGCCCTTCTTTGCCTTCCCGCAGATCCACTCTGCCTGCCCAGCTCCTGCCCTGAGCCCTGGCACTCACTGCAGCTGGCTGCTTTCTAGGTCATGCCAGCCACCAGGGAACACCAGCAGGATGAGCTTGCAGGGACACGGGCACTCCTGGAGCTGTCCTGTGAAGACAGCACACTGTTTCCTGTGATGTTACCACAAAGGGTTCTCTGTGCTGGGGAGGGATGTGGGTTGCTGCCTGCTTCTGCCCACCTCTCCTTAAATATTGGACACCACTCGACGCAATGCACAGTGTCTCTACAGGGATAATAACCTTTCTTGAGAAGAGAGATGTTTAATGTTGCACTCCCACTCCTGCCTGCTGCAGGCATCTCACAACCTCCCTTTTTTAAGAAGGGCTTACCTCCAGCGAGGATCTGAGCAAGGTTCATGTGCGCAAAAATGTGGGACCCTACATCATCCCAGCTTGTAACTAACTCTGGAAGAATAATGCCATCTCAAGTAATAAGGGCAGGATTAAAGACAGAGCACACTGAAGGGAAGGGATCCAATTCCCATGAGATATCTCACATCAGCAAGCTTGCAAAGCTTACAGGGAATGATCTATTGCTTAGAAATGCCTTAGTGAGTAGAACTGGAATAAACACAGGCTTTCTAAGCCAGGTTTTAACTAAACAAGCATATGGTTAGCTAATGCACATAACTAGAGTTTTAATTTCTTTCTCATGTTGAGATGAAACTCCTCCTGATGCAACTTGTATCCACTGTCCCTTGTAATAATCTCCATGCGACTCCTTGTGAAGTAAAATAATTCACTGCAGCAATCTCTCCAGAGATACAGCAGAGTTCCCACCACAGGATGTTTTCAAGATGTCACTGGACAAGGTGCTAGACTATCTCATCTAGGCTCCCTTTCCCATGAAAGGTTGGATCAGATGGCCTTTTGATATTTCTTCCAACCTGGGCTGTTCTATGAAAGCAGTCAAGTTGGAAAGATGATCCATAATTACAAATATAATGGACATTCCCAGAAATTTTACAATGGAAGCGTGAGACAGCCTCATCACGAAGAAGAAACACAGGGTGCTCTGCTCCACTTCTTCCATGCAGTGAACTGGGAGTTTCACTTCTTCAATATCCTGTGTGGATCTCGCCAACCAAAACCCCACTCATTCCTTCACTTCAGCTACATGGGCTTTCTACTGGGTTTTGCAGAGTCAGCAAGGACTTCAACTACTGCTAATATTTTATAAAGTAAGGGGTTAAAATTGGATCTCAGCACTGCAGATATTGTAGGTCTTTCAAGCCTAAACGATGCTACATTTCAGTGCCAATCAGAACTGAAAAAGTAGTATCACTCCACTTTCTGAGAAAATACAGTCAATGTTTCTAAGTAGTACGAGAAGCAAAATATATACAATTTTCTCTGTCCATTAATCACTGGCTTTATATGAAGTTGACAAATAAGAGATTTCTATCTCTCAGAAAAAACATTATATTGGAAAAAATGTCCTGTAATTTAGACACAATATACTAGGGGGAGGAGAGGAAAAAAATTATCCTGGAGACACAAAACATGACCTGCTGGATCAAACTCTGAAAGTGAGATCTATTAATTCCCCAATCATTATGCAAGATACAACTGTACAGAACAATCACCACTGCAGCTGTCAGTAAGAAGAAAAGACCACTGGAGGGAATTCAGGAACACAAGCAGTTGGGTTGCTGAACTTCCTCAGGCAGTGAGGAACGAGTGGGGCTCTGGCTGAAGGACTCTCGCACTGTAGGATGCGTGCGAATCAAGGGAGGCTGCATCCCGCTTCTAACCAGTTAATTACAGCTTTCCAGTCCACTCAACATCTCCTCATAGAGTGTCTTGTAATTTATTAATCATTTTCATAGAGAAGACTATTTGCCTGTATTCTCTTTACATTCTGGTACCTCAAATATGGTTGAATGATTCACCTTTAAACATAAATAAATAGATTAAAAAAAAAATTGCCCCAAGGCTAAAAAGTAGATATGGAATGTTTCAGTTCAAGTGGCAGATTTTGCTGGTGGCTACAAGTGCCAGAAATGTTGCTAGAGCAGCTGTGCAAGTGCTTCGCTGTGGTGCCCTACATATTCCTTTCCAAGCTGACTGAGTTAAAAGGGGTCAAGCCAGAACCTGACAATAACCTGGGAAGACAATCTCCAGAAAATTGTATCACGGCTGCTACACCGAATTTGAGATTCATTTCTGAGGGGAAAAGGCCAAGACCTCTGAGGAAAACAGCCCACGACCTTCCAGTCTGCAGAGGTGTGAGAAAGGAGTATCCCTCCTAGAGAGAGCCCCAAGAGGACACTGCCTCCCAGGGAAGGCGGTAAGTTTCCTCCTCCCCATCACTTCTGCCAGGCACATTTATTCCAGGCTGTTTCCCAATTAGCACCTTTAGAGTTGGACAGAGGGAAGCTGGCAGGGCTGAAATAACATGCCCAAGAGCCCCAGCAGCTCAGGTGCCCCTCACGCCTATCCATCCCCGTGACTGGGACAGCTGGAGTTATTCTGAACTCCAGATACTCCACAGTTGCTACTGTTGTGTCTTCTAATTCAACAAGAGCCAATATAAGACTACAATGTGATGGAGAGCAAACCACACCAAGAAACCCAACAGGTTTTGTTCTTCTTGTCATCTCCAACAAGGTATTTAAGTGTCAAGCTCCCATGCTCGGCTAATGTTGTAGCGAGGCACTGCACAGAACATGAGCCTGGGAGAGTGCTAAGAGTTTACTCCCCTGTATCTGTTAAGTTTACAGCCCACCCATTTTGGTGACTGACACATTCAGATAACTGTGTGAAGACACTGTTAACACTTCACACCTCTTCATTCCTGTAGCTTCCCCTGGAGTTTGGCTGACTGCAACTTCCCCAGTTGTCTTTTTTGAGCAGATCAGAAAAAATAAGGCTGCTGTGTGATAACTACACTATAAGCAAGTACAGAGGTCTGCCTTCCAACTTTCGTGGTCCTTCAACATTTTTACATGGGACTACACCCACCAGCAGTGGCCCTGACCATCTCTCTTCTTAAGAAATAACGAACAGCTGAAATGTCTTTGCTTTCAATTACTGTAGAGTTCCAGTGGAGTAAAACACATTTTTCTTCATTAAAAATAATGATGCATGGCACGAGCCTTTCGTCTTTGTTTACAGTTATAAGTATTTGCCCAAGCACATCCTCTGAGGCATAGAAGAGGCCCTACTCTGGTTCTCTAATTTGTCATTACAAAGTCTAGTAGCACTTAATGCAGCTAAATGTTTATGTAAAATGTAGTTACACTTCAACAACATAACATAATAACAAAACATAACAAATAAAGCAAACAGCCTTAATTTCTGTGCATTTGGAAGTCTCCCTGCTGCTTAAAGAAGGATTATGTCCTTCACTTTTGTATGCCATTAGAGAAATACAGTTTCTTTCAATGAAACAAAAATAGCTGGGGGTTATAATTTTTCTAAGGGTTTGGTAGCATTTTAACCTTTTTTTTATTATTTTTTTTTTAAAATAGTCCTTAAGCTTTTTGTCTCCTAGCAAGTATTCAAGTAGCAGACTATTCCAGCAAACTGGCCTTGTGTTTCTGGGTCCCTGCCACCACCAGGATGGAGACTGAGTAGAAGTACAACTAACACTTTCTGCAGGATCCCCAGTTCTTGGTGGGCCAGATTGTGCCATCAATTTTTAAGCAATTCTCCACTGGTAGGAAAGATTTCTGCTTAAAAATTGATGGCTTGATCTAGCCTTCTGTTGCTAATCATATATTATGAAGACTACTATAACCTAGTCAGATTCTATTTTTAAAATAAAAAGAAAATATGAGGCAGCCTGACATGCTATACAAATCCACATTTTGTAAAGACTAAATTGTACTCTTAAAACAGCAGCCACCTTTTCCCCAAATCACTAGACCACCATTTTACAAGGATCAGTTGGATAGAAGAATTTCTGGTTTAAGTTATTAAGCAATTATTAAATTCAGCCATAAACATATTTCCAATTTGGAAAATTATTAGAACATATAGAAAATGTTTTACTGTCACACCAACATCAAAACAGTACAAAAAAAAAAAAAGGTTATGTTGTTTTCTTTGGCAGATACCACACCAAATTCAGGGACATTCCAGTTATTTTCTAATAGGAAGAAATGGAAACAAACACTTCTTATTCTCTGATTTAGAACTTTAAAATTTCAGGTTTTAACCTGTATTAACTTTACACAGAGCATAAGGTTATCTCAGCCTATCTTAAACTACACTGAAGAAAACTCTGCAGTCTAAC